AAATAAATTAACCGTACGAGATTTATAATGCAGGCACTGACAAATTATGACATCTTTGGATACATTTGAAAAAAATTAATCTACATCATAACTAGCTATCTGAGCTTTCCGAATTATTAATGTAGTACCTATAGTTATTATTGTGTACGAGCAGGTTTCCACTACATACACGTTCTTGTAAATCCTTAACTATGAATATTATGATTGGTTGGTTGGGTTAGGTTACCACACAACCAACCACGTTACCGTTTAGTTGAACTTACCTGAACATTTTACACGGCACAAGCGTATAGCGTAAACCCGGATTTAGGTTTGGTAGCCTTACCAACAATAATAAAATTTCCGTTCCACGTATAGAAATGTAGAATAATTGATGCATTTTTTATTGTACCTAGCTTTAATATTCAGCTAATTTTAGGCACATGGTGCTTATATTGGACAGTACTCTTTTAATATATAATACATGAGTTATGATGAATTTATTGTAAGTACTTATCTACCTATATAGGTATATTACTTATTTATGTAGGGATAAATTATTAAATACTGTTAAACCTTATACTTATATTTGCCTTATTCAATTTACCTACGTATTTTTGTTCTATGGTATAACTGTATAAGCTTGATTTTAATGTACCTCCGTATTTAGTTTAAGTGCCGTCTTATATTATTCAGTTAATTTAATTATAATCAACAATGCCAGTGAAGTTTGTTGTCGATAGTTTTAATTTTTTTTATGCTAGTCTAGTTAGTTTATCAGCTTGAAAGTTTTAAATTTCTTGATGGTTTATTGGAATACTATTTAAGACCCTGACAGAGACAGCATAGTATTGGATTTATATAGGTAGTAATTTTGATTGTGTTAAAAAATTTGTCTTCACCAAGKAATTATACGTGTGGCAGCTAATTAACTGTTCATATACACAGCTATAGTATTCAGGGCCGGATTGGTTAGGCGAGCTACCGAGAACATCTCGGTGGGCCGCTCAAAAAAAATGTCGATCGTAAGTGTTTGGGCAATTATTTCTTAACACAAATTTGAATACATTTATTTAACTCTGTGCGCTACGTCGAATCTAGATCAATTTATACATTTTTATTTGAAAAGGGCCCCTTTTAGGGCCGGTTAAAAAACTAAAACTCTGTGGGCTGATACCTTGTCTATCCGTTACTGATAGTGTTATATTATATATGGTTTAATACCGACAATTGTAAATACTATTTTTTTTCAGGATATATTTATAATTATTTTTGCATAAATTAGTGTATCAGTAATCAGTGCACGACTGTATACTTATAATTGTATATTGTGTCATCGTGGCTGTTATCTTATATTTTGATTAAAAAATCTTCTTAAAATTTTCGTTAATCAGTTTGACAGTTTAAATTCAATAAGAATAATTTTACAAGTCTATAACTAATTACCTAACCCTCCCCCCTTCTTCATTAAAATGTATTTTGTGTACGGATTTGTCCTTATTAGGTATTTATGAGTTATCTGATTTTTGTATAAATATGTCCTAATGGCTAATTGTATATTGTAAATTATTATTATTATTGTAGGATATATACGTAAAAGACATTATTACTATTTATTAATTACCATTTGCTATATATCTATAGATTGAGGTTTTGAGGTAAAATCGTTAGCACGGTTAGGTTACCTACATTTAATATCACTATAATAATATCATCCTTATGTATCGGCGTGTTAAGAAAATATTTGAAACGTGTTTTATTAAATATTTTCCAGAGTTAAAAATTATGATATTCTGATATTCATAATGGTATAACATTATAACTTAAGTTGCATATTATACAAATTATTCGTATACACTATAGTCACAAATACTCATAGTTTACGGATATAATACCTACTAAATGAATTATAAACGTGAATTGATATACTATTTGTACATCGTTATATATTATATAACCTATCAATATCATATAAATTAAGTTAATTTTACCGTGCAGTTTTCGCCGAAATTTAAACATAGTTAAATCACAATATATTTGTATATTATATTATATTATGTACATAGGTACTTACCAATACTTACGCGTTTATTACTCATATTTAATTCATGTAAATATTGTATAGGTACATGTTGTGTAAAATTTACAATGCACATGTACAAAATTGCAAAATACATTATAAAGTATATATATATATATATATATATATATATTATATTATGATATAATAATACAATTTAAAACGTGTTCCTAAATCCATGTAAGTGTAATATACAATTATATTGTCTGCACGGGTTTTTAATTTTAAAATACAATCTTTCCTAAAGCTAATTTTGTATGGTAAAAAACTTAAACATAATTTCGTAGTTTCATTCGATGTAACATACATAGCACAATATTATGCTATACAACAAATAAGAATATAACGAATGTCAAACAATGTATGTACAAAAGAAAATATATAATATATATTATGTATATTTATGTAGTACTCATTGCCATTTCATATCTACACGTCAAGAATACCAATAACTTTAATAACAGTAAGTATTCTTTTAAAACTATAATAATATTTGTAACATTTATAACTTTACTTATATATATGTAAGTAGATTCTTTTATATAGTTGAATAAATTACAAATTACTACATAACAATAAGATAATATTATTTACCACAAACTACACATGTTTAGTGTAGCATAAAAAAATAATAGGTACTGATAACATATAGATATACAGATTTGACAAATCAACAATGAACGCATGTTTTACAAACTAATTTTAAGTTTTAACTATATTGTGGTTTAGTTATTTGAGCTTTGCATATTTTTATCGTAGTTGTATACTCAGCAGTATAATCGTATGCAGGGTTATATTTTTATTATTTTCTGTTTATCTTTGAAGGAGTTTTTAAATTAACATTTTTCTTTCTAAAGACTGATAGAATAAACCACGCAAATTTATTTGTGTTTTAACTAAAAAAATATAAAGTGCTGAAATTTTGGAGGATGACAGTTGTAACCTTAACCCACATGTCACTGAATATCGTAATTTACGTGAATGAGCCATTTATACTTTATTGATTATTAAAGACCAATGTTTAAAGTTAATTCATCGATCATAACAATAATCAGTGGTTGAATTGGGGGAGGACGCGGGGATACTGAGCTACTCTTTATTTTTTCTTCACATTATAGCGTACCCCTTTATTATATTCATCAAGGAATAGGGTTACTATTAAATTGATTTGCTTAATTGTTAAACATCATTTAGAGTCCACCTTTATTTATTTTTCCAATTCAACCACTCACAATAATAATATAGTATTATAAAGTATATAAAATGTGTAGGAAATGATCTCAAATTATTAAATACCTACGTATTGTACACCAAATGACAAATTTAATACAAAATACATATGGTTAAAAATTAATATTATGTTTGTATACCTCAGATATTCATTGTTATGTAAGAAATAATAATTTTGTTATTGATGTTCTTAAAGTGGTGCGTTCAGAGACGGATGATTAATATCACATTATCATATTATATTACTCCGTACGAGTATTTAACTATAGTTAGTCTTAGTTAACCTAAATTAACGTTATTTCAAATGTATACATACGCCATACGTGAAACATCATGAGAATTATTGTGTTTATTTACATGCATTTTCAGACCACGATTCAATACCTGGGCAATATTAATGTAGGTATATGCATTATGAAAAATCGAAATAGCCAATAATGTTATGAATTAGTATTAGAATAAATACTTTAGAATTATTGAAATAATTCAAGGTATCTTAAAATGTACTCTACAACAATCCATGTATGTAGGTAAGTAGGTACCAGTGCACAATATTGTGAGAAAAATGTATCAAATATTTGATTAATAATAGATAAATTTTGTATATTATTTAATTAGAAAATTTTATATACGAATAAAGTTGAGGGTAATTATAACTATTAAAATTTTACGTTTGAAATTAAATTAACGAATTTTATAAATGACTGACGTGTAAAAATTAACATACAATGCATGAATAACTCTAAAACTAATACGAAGAAAAAGAGATCCTTTTATAGAAAGAACCAATTTAAGTTTTTGTAATTTCATAGATAACTATGTATGTAGTTATTTTGAACAACAACTGTAGTGTATATTTCGTAAAACTGCAACTGATCGTTGACTTGCTTCAAAAATATTTGGTTCAACTGTCATCGAAAAAAAATATGTTAAATTTAATACTTAATTTATACAGAACCATTTTGTTTATTAATAATAATTCTCTGAATTTTTTCATATTGATAATTTTTTTATCACCCGCTTCGTATTCTGTGTTTCTTACCCAATGTTTTCTATCGATTTCCAGGTAAAATATTTCATTGAAAAAATAAATCTACGGTTGACGTATATACATTTGTATTTGACATTCCTAAGTCTGTAAATGGAAAAATATTTATTTGGATTCATTTATGATATTTTTCGAACTAAATAAGATGTAAATTTGAATTCATGGGACCCAACTGTAATACATCATTCATTTCAAAAAACATTTATCACATTTTTTTTGTATGTACTAATATACTATGTGTACAATAAAATGTTTGTAAGAATATATTTTGTTATATGATAATTTAAATTGGGCTTGAAATTTATTACGGTATGTAGTAAATATTTACTATAATATTAAATAAATTGTGTTAAACAATTGGTTAATTGTTTTATCTAAGTTTAGGATATTGAATGTTAAACAAAAATAAATTTATATAAATTATAATTTAATATCATTAGATTCTCATGTAACAAAATACTATGTCTATTCCTAATCATTACATTTAAGTTTAATTAATTTTTTAACTTATAGTGGGTGTTATAAAAATCAATATATTAATTTTATTAAATTACTTTTTACAAACSAAATGAACACAAGAACGTGATGCACATACTTTATGGTTTTTTTGGTATTTTAAAATTTATACTTGATATATTGTAGGAATATTTTAACTATAGTTTAACTTAATCTTAATTATTTTTTTTTACGTGAAATTACACTATGAGATAAGTTAAATTAATTAAAATCCATACAATGTAGACAGTGCAACATTTTTCTGTAGGAATGATTTACAGTATTTTTGATAACAACAATAAGCTTTTGCTTGACTAATGAAAATACCATGATACAAGGTTTAAAATATTTCAATTTCTACAAAGTATTCATTTAGATGTAAATTTTTGTAGAAAATCGACTATCGTAGTGTACACTTTTTTGTTTTATGTATATATATATAATTTATATTTTCGTATGTACATTTTAATAGACTACCCCAAAAATTTTTGCCTACATGGATCCATTGTTTAATACAAACAGTATGTATACAATGCATTTAAATAATATCTGTCGCTTTTTTTTTTTACAACAATTCAATATCAAGAATATGCACTGATCATTGTAGTTTATATTAAGCTGAGGCATACGGATCCTGTAAATGAGATAGTCCGTCCGTTAAACATCAGGTAGACTTAAGTTTGCGACGCCTTCGAGCCCAAGAATTCTTGGGAACGTTAAACGATCTTCTTGTTGCATAAGTCCCGAATACCGTTGATTGGCTAGATGACGAAGTTGAGTCATTTTCAACATTTGAACCCTGTTGATCCTCGTATTTTGAATCAGTTCTAAAAAGTAAAAATGAAATAACATAAATTAATATAGTATAGAATAATTTAATATTACGTGTTATATATATATATATATATATATAGGTGCATATAGTGCACGATGTACCTACCCAATAATAAACAATTAATGATTAAAATATTTAATAATAATATTATTCAGTTCAACTTTTGGAAATTTGTTTTCAATTTAGTTTCATTTTATACTTAATTTTTTATCCGTTTAAATTAATAATTGTTGAATATATTGCCTAGAGGGTAGGGCGTGGTGGATAGCCGCAGCCACTAATGTGTGCTGCGGTCAAGTACCAGTCCGGCGCTGCAGCCTCCCGGAGGGGTGACCACCCGGGTTTTTTGCGTCAGATCCTTGTCCCTCAAAAAATGAAAAATTGATCTAATATAATTATTTGATTTAAATTGTTTTATTTTATTTAAACATGCATTTTATTTGAGTTGACTTAAGTTTTAATGAAGTCAAAGTATTTAAGTTATTTTAAATTGTTTTTAGAAAACACAAAAATTATTTTTTTTAGTTATTACCACATAAAATAAAAATATTTAGTGAAAAATACAACGAATCTTAATAAAATACGTTATAATACCTACTACCTACTACCTATATAATATATCTAAATTAAATATTGTAATTTTGTTTTTCAGTGCTGAAAATGCGCGATTTGTGTAGCTATATATATACTTAATAAACTCGAAAATCTATTGGTTTTATTATAATATATATTTATTTAAAAGCTTTTAAGGAATACTTTTACATAATAATATTTTCATTACATATAATAATTATGCATTTTGTTGATTGATAGAAATAATAATTTTTTAATTTATTAAAAAAAAATATCATTATTTGCTTGTTGTGTATAGATTGCAGTCTATGTATCGTCAAATATCAATTTTAAAGCAATATCGTTTCAATATTTTTTAGAAGATTCTTAATTGATAAGATTAAAATATACACTAAAAGAATTATAGGAATTTGTGCAATGTAGGTAACGAATAACAAACCTAATAAAGTACCTTTACTACCTACTCAATTCCTGGTCGAAAAGTGATATGTAACCTTTAAAGTACTTCTACTGCCTATAGAAGAAAAGTAAATTGAAAATAATCACATATTTTACAGCAAATAAAATGTATTCACAATAAGTTCTAAAATATCTAAACAAAAACTGTAAAATAATAGGAAACGTATTCGAGTATGATAAATATAAATCTAACAATATGTATTTTTTAATATTATATAACAGCGTGTGGTTTCATATTTTTTTTTTTTTAAATATGTCAGAAGTTTTTGATAAAAGCAAGAAAAAATCAAAACCAAAGAAATAATTTTAAAAATTCAAATCTTAACAATTTTTTTTTGGCAAATTAAGCTTAGTGACCATTTATTATTGCCTTGAAACTTGAATTTACGCACCCAATTCGTGCATATAATTTTATTAATATTACAGTATACTCATTAATAATTTATGAAATTGAAAGAAAGTATTTTGACTCAGAATCGTATTTAACTGTAATACCGCAATTATAATCCACCTCTGCTACTAAAAACACCCAAGCAACTGTAAACAAACGCTCCGATATTCAGAGTAATCTGTCTACCGTCTACCGCTTAATAACATTCACTTACAATAATTACATTTGGTCGATTTTTTTTTTTTTTAAATGAGTTCTTTAAATGCATAAATACAAAAATGCTAATAAAACTTTTTGCTGTGAAAGAGTATGCGGGACGGACGAACGTAAATAACCCCGAAATCCCGTTATATTATACGTTTTTTCTTCTTTGACATAGACCAACCTACTCTACCATTTCTCATTATTTATTTGATGTTCGTAGGGCGAGACAGAGACTTTAAGCGTATAATATATTGTTTATCTAATATAATTTAGACAAAAGGAGGCACTAAAATGGACAAATATTACAATAGATAATGGTGAATTTCAGAATGCTATTCATTTCTGAACAAATTTTCGAATTCGAATATACAACGGAGTTGTATAAATTATTATTATGAGAATTTTCGTGAAGGCAATTGTTGTATATGGTTTGAAAAGATTAAGTATTGTACATCGATCGACATTCTTATCGATCAAAATGTGTTTTTATCAACACTTCTATTAAATTGAATTGCTTAGGTAACTAAAGAAACAAAAACAAAACCTCAGGAAATTAATTTAAGGTATCCCGAAACAAAACAAAATACGAATACCTATAGAGTATACTGTATAGATATATATAATATATTATCTATATAAGAAAACAAGAGACTCGCAATTTTCCCATGTAGGATAGAAAATAATAAATAAATAAATTTTTAGTCTACTCCTTTCTAATTGTATAGGATTTAAAAATGTTCTTATAAAATAAGTATCAATAAGAACCCCCTCAATGTGCAGCTTGCGGGGTTACACTAACTGTGAAACATATAATAACAGAGTGTTATCAATATTCAGAAGTTATGGAGAAATACAACATTCCACCCAACTTGTATGGAGCTCTGGGACCGACGAGACCACATCGAACATGATAGCCTTTCTCAAAGGATCGGATTTATACAACAAAATTTAAACGTATTGAAAAAAAAAAATTGTAANTATGAGAAGCCCTCGATAATAATGTTACTTTTAATTTTTATAAGAAGTCAATTCACTCTAAATTTTAAACTAACAGAGCTACACGTGTCCTGTAACTCCTGCTGAGCGTAAAAATTACTATGTTACGCCTTAAGCACTTGTAAAACGAAGACGACACATGCGGATGCATATGTAATTATAAAAGGCTTAAATTTTGAGACCTTATCAACTAAAAAAAAAAATAAGTATATTATTGTAATATCTTTAAAAACAAAAACGACTATAAAACTCTACGCACACACTCAATGCATGAGTAGGTACCTATATACGAGGCTGCAGGTTATCAGGAGGTAAATGTGAAGATTAAACGCCCTCTAATGCTTTCATCTAATATTTTTAAAATTTCTTGGAAAATGTTTTAAAAAGAATATAAACAATCTATCGATTTAAAAGTTACATTTTTCAATATACTTTAACAAAAAGTTTTTCAATTATCAATATTCCTATCACATTTTGTGGACCGGATGCTTTGGAAATGTATGGTTCGAAGTTTCACACTATAATTACGTTTGTTTCTCGTACCATTTAGTTAATTGTGATAATTACAGAAATTAGCCTTAGGTACACATATATTAGAATTAAATTATATAAAATATTTACATTGAATGATATTTTACAACTCGTATTTGTTCCTCCAATTCGGTAATTTTTTCATTGAGCTTGACATTTTGATTGTAATATTCGGTCACGAGATTTGACAATCGAGTAGTCACATCTTTCATGGTGGTATCTGAAAATATAAAACGATATCGTAACAATCAGAATTTTTCATAGCGTACGAAATATATGATAGGCATATAATATTATATGTCCAATTCCATATGAATACAAATACGATTAGTAGATAATAGAGATACAACAGTATAATATCAATAATATATTATAAGTGTGTAGATTCAAAATATTAAATAGGCATATATTAGTAGACTTATAACTATTAAATTTTGTCAATATTAGTCGAGCGCGTTTATTAATTATTAGTATATTATTATATTGTTATATTTTGTTAAATACAATTAGGTAGGTATACGTGTTATACAAATATTCCATTATTACTCTATGTAAGTGTTACACGAATAACCATTATATTATCATATAACGATATAACCGGTGTATATAGTGTTATAGACATAATAATTATATTGTGTTTATTTATCAAACCACATTATGTATATAATAATGTATTGTTATAGGTATATAAGATATGCTGACTTTGTAGCGGATACAGCATGCTGCAGCGATGTCATAGCGCGCGAACAGGAAGCGTCAGAGCTTTGGTGTCTGAATTATTATCATTATTGCTGTTGTCATTACGGGCGAATTTAAGTATTCTTTCGAATACTTTTTTATTTTTCGTTTGTTTTTGAATCCATTACAGAAACGAAATACGGAGTGGTCTGAGTAGCTGGGCGTAAACTCTCTCTGTATTATACAGTAGGTATATATAATTATATATATCCGTTGCCATCACCACCACCACCGCTGCCACGTCAACCATATATGCTGTTCTATGTAGATTACGTCTTAATTCGCTATGAGAATATATTCTATACCCATGGTTGCAATGAAGGAATGAGTTAACGGGTAAACTCAGCACTCATAAATTGCCCGACGTGTAATATAATGTATGCATGTACAAAGGTGATTTTCCAAACATGCTCACCCCTATTTTGTCAATAAAAATACAAACTTTCAAAATTATTTTTTTTTAAGATACAAACCATCTTTTTACTAAAAATTGATTTTTTTTGAAGATGTTGACTTTTCTAAATGTATACATGAACGAATAGTTTATGCGTAAATGTATAATTAATAAGAGTTATTCAACTTTAGATAGGTATATATATATATCCACGTACAGTTTAGAAGATATAGATGCCACGACGATTTGAATGTATTAAAGTAATCACTCATCACTATAATTAAAAATCAATATTTAATGTTAATCTATTAGTATTTTGTAATTTAGAAAATTTACTGAGCATAATATATCTATACTAGACTATAATATGTTTCATCGAAATGAATATGATGATATTATAGAAATATAGACTGTTATTTTTAGGTCATCACGATTAATACATTAGTTAACTCGTCTGCAACATTTTCAAAAAAATTATCTGCTCATAGGTGTAAATTGGGTTAAATTATTTGTTCGTGTTTGAGTGAGGGAGGGTCTAAAAATGTACAATCACTATAGGTACGTACTATATTTCTACGCTTCTATTGAAGTAGAATTATTACAATTTCATATCAAATAAGATTACAAAATTTTTATTTTTTTTTTATTTTCGTAAATAGGTATTCAAAACCATGAATAATTGAAAATTATTTTGTAGGTACTTAAAAATTCGTAAATATTGAATTTTAACACTTATATAAGAGATTTATGCTTAATTTGAACGAAATTTATACTAGATATTCAGAATAATTTCAAGCATTCCGAAATAGGTAAATAGGTATTAGTCAGTTCTCCAATCTCATGGCGATTAGTGGTTGGATTTTCTATGCACTTTAATTTATTTTTAGAGTATGCATCAACGGGTGGTTGTGATTCACGTTCACACAAACTATTCACGGAAAATAAGAAATATTTTTCAGTAAAAATATTTAAATATTCAGATATTCATACATGTTATATTTATTAAACATTTATCTAGTACATAATTTTTAAGAAACAATAGATTCGTAAATTCAAAATATTAAATTTATTTTTCCAATCATTTTTAGGGAGGGGGGTTAGGAGCTAGAATGGTTGCAAAACGAAAGTGCTAACTACGAATACTCTGTACGTTCAGGTAAAAATTAAAATTACAGAACGTTGGCACTTTGTATTATTGTATACATAAATACTACTAATACTAATATAGGCACAGCTAGACTATATGAATACTATAATATTTTCATTTAGTCTATGGTATATATAGGTATAATATAATATAAACAAGTGTAAAGTCATAAATTCATAATCAATTATGTTATAAGTATTAGTAAGTTTAAATATCATTTGGTATATCTATCTAAAATTTTATTTGCTACTATAGGTGGTTTAATCCTGTAAATTTAAAAAAGTGATTATTTTGATTTGTTTAAGCAATAAACATTTGTGTTTTCTTTATAACTTTTTTAATAGATTTTTAAAAATAAATTTGAATAATTATTAATGTGAACTATCATCTGTTATATACTTATATTAGCATATATATTAGTTTATGTTTTTATATTTATATAATAGTACAAATAGTGTCCTAGACTCCTAGTGTCCAAGTTTTGCAATCTAAATTTTTACTAGACCGTACAAAGTATCTACGTTATGTACTTTAAACAACAGCAGTAAAAAGTGACCGTTTACCGGCTAGAACAACTTGGTGGGCTAAAACCCTAAACCAGCTAAACCCCTTCAACATGCCACTGCTTAACATTTTTCAGTAAAAAGGTTTAATTCTAATTTGAAATGTTTTTACTTCGATAGGACACTCTTGCATGACTTTTTTTTTAACGTAACTTATGACAACAAATCTAAGTAGATATTTGAAAATGAGGTTTTTGAGTATGCTAAAAACTTCCATGGTTATAATTTGAATAAAACAAAAATAGTTAAATGAGAATAATATAGAGGTGAGCATTTTTGGTTAATCTGACATGATATTATCTATACAGATATTAAATTATATAGAATAATGTACATCATATAATTTATCACACATAATTGAAAGTAATTTTATAGTACGTATGCAATACAATACCGCCACAACCACAACAAAAACAACTGCAGTAACCTTMACCCAGATTTATCGTCACGATATACAGGATGTGTCCCGCGAGGATTGACCAAAATGGTCATCAAAAACAGTAACAAATCGATTGATCGAATTCTGTTTATAGTGCACAAGTCTTCGCGGGACGTAATCTCATCGTACCTACTGTTAAGGTGGCGTTATACCCGCCCATAATATGTTTCAGTCTTAAAAACGCATAATACTCCAATTTTACACTTTGAATAATATATTTAACTTTGTTGTTTATATAATATTAAAATGAATTTATTGATCTATAATAAAAATTAAAGATAAGAATATTATACAAGACCACACATATAGTGATTTCGAAACTTTAATTTTGAACCAAATCATGAGCATTTAAATTTTTTAAACAAATAATGAATTTCAGAATACTCATAACTTGCTTTAAAATTAAATAAAAACATACGTATAGTAAAATATGTTATTCTCTCTTTTAATGTGATGATATATCAATTCACTTTGATATTAAAAACGACAGAGTTAAATGGATATTCTGAACGAAAAACTTGCATTGTTGTACGTGCGCTTATATGACGGAGACAAGTGATAATACATGCGGGTATAACATTTTCTTTTCAGACGCGCAATAACTAGTGCCCGTCACGCGTCTGCATTGGCGACGTACAAACTTGAGCGAATTGTTTCCGGTTTGGTTTGATAACAACTGTCGAAAACTTTGATTTGTGCTTCAACTGCTTGCGATTGGACTGTCGCTGAATTGGCTGTCCGAAGTCGTCCCTGCTATTGGCTAATCTAATGTATCCTTCCACGCCTCGGTTCGGGGACAGGAAGTTGTTATGGTCTATATTTTATATTATACATATTATTAAAATATATACCTAAGTAGTGAATAGTTGTAATGAAAAAAAATACATATTTACGACAGATTAGTATAGTAAGRTTAAGGCGAATAAGCGGACACTGTTATTATGATCATAACATTTTGTCGATTCGATCAAATTGAAAATGATGTGAAAAAAATTAACACCGGAAATATAAGTTGGCTCGGACAACTTAAAATTCTAAAACTAACTTAAGGATATTTAAATTAAAAATCATAAAAAGTATAAAAAAAATACATTCATAATAATTTAAACATATTATTATAATAATAATATTATTATAATATATTCATTATTCATAATATGAAAAAAATAATTATATTGAGGTTTATACATAATATTGCAGCATTTAATAAGGGGTCTTTTAGTCTACACCCTTTTTAGTCCTCATTGAAGTACCTATCTATTTTAAGTGCTTATTAGATGTAAAACATTAACTATAATATTATGAATTAATAATCAAACGATTTTTAGATGGTGATAAAATAGGGGTTTTCACCTTTAAAATGACCATAGTTTATGCATTTTAGGGTATCAGCAGTTATATGATATTTATTAAAATATTATTATCTTAGGTTTGAAATTGTAATACATAATTCATTGTATATAACTACTCACAATTTATATCGATTAGAGAGATTTTAACAGAAGAGCCTGTTGTACTTGTTATACTTTAGTACCTATTATATGTACTTTTATATTATACATTTGAATTTCTTTTAATGTTGGGCAGCTATAATAATTTGTTATGAATTTCAGGTCAAGTTTAATAACATTTCAAACACAATATAAAAAATATAACCAGATAAAATAAATAAATAAAAGGTTTTACACATTTTTAACACTATTGTTGTACATTTTAGGTTGCTTGGTTGCTATTTAAATTTTACTGAAATTTTAAATTAATGCTTGAGATAGTGTTATTACATATAATTATCAGTATTGAATATCTGTTATAAATATTTTTTGTGTAGAATCTTATATTATTGTTCATCTTACGAACTGTCTTCATTTATCAGATTCAACCATATGTGATGACACTTGATGGGAATTTAATCTTACAACATCATTATTTATTTTTCATCTAGTTTAGTTTTTCTAGAACTAAAATATAACAATTTTACGGTTTTCAAGAACTAGAAGATATAATATTTGATTAGTATAAAGTATATATTATGTAATATGTATTCACTTATAGTTTAAATTATTATATGCGTGGAATTTATAATACATAATATAGGCATATTGTTATACATTTAAGTCATATAACTAAAGAATTCAACTTAAATTTTTTATTCAACGACAAAAGTTATAATATACTACTACTACAGCAATATTATTAATTTAATTTTTTGGTAAGTAATGTCATTGAAATAGGAAATTCATATTTGAAAATTTTATGATTTTGTTAAAATGTATTCTTTATATTAAAATTTTTTTTTTGATACCAATATAATGTTACGTCTAATATTACAAAAATATAAAATAATATAGAGTGCTCATGACATTTAACATGTCAGTGTTGCGTTTGCAATAACACTTCATTAAATTGTTATTATTCTTGAAGGCAATAGCTTAAACACGTTATTATCAAAAGAAAACGAATTACTATATATACAATTCGTACATTATTAAATAAATTATTAGTCTTTTATTAATGATGACAAATATTTATTTTCTGCTTTTAAAGCAATAATTTTTTATGACAACATTATTCTGTGTGGAATAATTTGTGAAAAACAAACTTTAGTCGTTGAAATAAAGCTTTATGGACATGAATTTAAAAAAAAAACAACTTAAATTTAATAATTTTAATAACTCATCTGAATTTTTACTTCGTGGGGCATAAAATGTCAAACATCGTAATTTATGAAAACGTATTTGGTAAGTAATATAGTGATCTAATTGTGTCTATTTATAATATATTAAAAATATTTTATACATACCTAATCTAGACACTGCTTCGTTAATGGTTTCATTCTGCGTTTGAGCTTGCAGGAACGCATCCTCATCTAACAGCCTATCCTTTCGCAGTAGCTGACAACCACGTTGCATTAGGCTGTGTCTAGCTTCGGGATAATCTCTTAGTGTTTCCCAGAGATCTCTTTTGGACAGACAAAATAGATCAGAGTACCCTAAACTCCGGACATTAGCTGTGCGACGATTGCCTGTTTTGTTTCCAGCTATTTCTAGTACGCTTACCTATGGAATAATAATAATAATAATAATAATAATAATAATAATACAATTTAATCAATTGATTTTAGTTATGAAATTAATAATTTTGGTTTCATGTGATATTAAAATACACAAAATAAAAGTTTTATTATTAAACATCGACTAAATTTGATTTTATACTTAATGACATTTTTATGTTATAACATTATTTATTTTATTTGAATAAATAATATTATTCTTTAAGAAATTGAAGTTGTAATGAAGGTAATAGAAAAAAATTATTAAGATATAAATTTGAACAAAATTAGTTTATACGTTAATATTGTTAAATATATTTAGGGTCTTACTTAGTATAATTTATAATTAAATACATATTGGTGTTTTAATCTTATTGTATAATAGTTGTAAGCTCTGATAATCTTCTTACATTAGAAGCCATTATTTATTCCTGTTAGAGTTACTAAATATTTAACCATTGGTGTACTATTATATAGTTATATTACAAGTTTGTTAATTTCTATATTCTACACTAAATATTAATCTAATTTTAAAGGMGTTTGAAGTTCAAGGACATTTTTAATAAAACTTTAATAGACAATTAATACAATCAAATTTTATTTAAAAATAATTTGAAATCAAAACTAATATTACAAGAAAGAATAATATAGTAGGAACTTTGATAATATTACATATAACAAATAACAATAATTACCTTATTATATTTATTATAAATCTTATTACTTACTATAAATCTTTTTTATATCTATATAGTATATATTATGTTATATTTATTGGTACAGTAATAACATTGAAATACATAGTCATACATTTATATTGATTGAACCTATATATATATATATATATATATATATATATATATATACTGGCGGGTGTTGGGGGTCCTCAGTTCTGTTCATTTTTCTTACAGATTTTTTGTGTAAGGGAAAATTGACAGACCTGGTAATAATTTTTTTTATAAAAATTTGCATATAGATTTTCAACCTATTAACGTTTATACTAAGACCATAGATAAAATATTAAATATGTGTATTAAATTGGAAATAATAAGCGCAAGGGTAAGATAACTAGTTACTAGATGACATAGTATCCTCCTAATTTTTCCTAAGAAATATCGTTTCCTGTCTATAATTCATATTATATTAGCTAATATCAATCACTGACAATRACTAGTACATTTTATTTTAATTTATTGAGGCTTTGGAAAAGATTGAACCATAGTTTTATAATTTTAAAAATAAATATTGCGAGTGAATATGTTCATTGTTCAATGGGATATTTTTACGATGAAAAATTAAGTTCTAGTTGAATGTGTTTGTTTATATAATAAGTTATTTGTATAAGGACATTTATTGAATGTTCCAGTAATTTTTAAATATATAATATTTTAAGTATTTATAATACAAAGTTTCAAATTAAAGAAAGTTGAGTAAAGCTTCTATATAGTATATTTTATGAAAATATCAGTAGGACTATAACTTAGATTAATCTTAAATTTAAAAGCTTTTGAGTTATTCGATTTTTATTATTTGGGTATGCATAGACATTTTTAGTTGTAAACTTTACGACTACAACGAATTATAGAAATTGGAATTTTTTTACCTCTGCGTATAAGAGATATGCAAATTATGAAGTATACATTTTTATTTTTTTTTGTTTTAACAATAAATTAGTGTTTTACAGTCAATAAAAGTACGTTGTATACAGTTAAAGAAAAACCCCTGGGTATAATTATAATTTTATGGAAAAATGGAGAAGGAAATATCGATAGTACCTAGGTATAACATTTCATGACCGGTGGCCACCCATTAAAAATCGTGTTACGATGCTGATTTGATTTTTATATAACCAATCACGAGAAGATCCATGTTATTGGTGACCATCATATATAAAGATATTTTATCAGTTATTGTTAGGTACTGTTTAATATAATGTTATTACTTTTTGGCTAAGGACTGGAAATAATAGTTGCATATAATATTTTATTGCTGGGTATTTGTTTCTGAATATATTTTCATACATTTTATCCTACTGTAAAATTTAAAAGTGTTATTTAACATTTTAATAAGTATCTATTTGAATAATTTAATAAGTAATCATATCCGGATGCCCGAAGTATTAAATAATCATAACCGAATGACCGAAGTATCAACTAATAATTTACCATTGCAAGTTTGTTATAACAAAATATTTTAGAACTCCTATGCTTTTAAAACATGTACCTATAATAAAATACGAATTGAATGATTGTAATTTTTAGTGATCATACAACACATCAAACGATGATTGTAATAAACACTGTGGTGGAATTGGCATGGACATTTAACGGCTATGTTAACAGTAAAAAAGCAGTGATTCTATTTTTAAATATACAAAATTACTAAAAATAACATGAAAAAAGATCTATTTTTTATTTACTTAATTTATTATTGTGCGTATTTAAAATATACTCTAAAGTTAAAAAGGTACTGACATTCAAAACTGGGGTATGTTTAATTGGTGCCATTTGTGTTTCTCCTAATTACAATCATATATACGCACAAGCGAAAATACATAATATATGTATATAATTTACAAATATTTCCTCATGTATATTTTTCTAGAAATATGTTATCTGTAAGTGTTAACAAATTTTGCATAATACAAAGTTATACTTGGTAAATCATATAGATAGGTATCGAATTAACTAAACATATTGTCGGTTTGGAACCTTGATAATATTGACTATAGTTGTATAATCAAATTTAAGTAAACATCAAATCAAATTAGTTATTAAGTTCGATACTATAATATAATATTATGTTTTTTAAACAATATTGAAGCAAATTTCAAGTTTTATTATTTGTTGTTAATATAACATAAACAAACAATTTTAAAGCGTAATAAAAAATGAACTTATTTTCGCCAAGAAAATCTGATTAAATGTTTAAAATTCGAAACAAAATGTAATATTTTGCATGATAATTACAGAAAATGGTGATTAATGCAATCTATGTAATATATTTTTAGGTATAAAAAGTTTGTATTATGAACATTAAATTATACAAACTAATTAAATGTGTTTGAAAATATAGTTTAAAACAAATTTAATAAAAGTGCCACCAGTAAGGACAATTATATTATTATTGTTAGAAATAAATTTTAAAATTGTTGTACTAATAAGATAAATTATACTTATTACATTTTAATTACTGGCTTATTCTAAGATACTGTATTATCTTCATAAATAATTATTATAAATTCAATTGTCTTTATCTGACAATTCTGAAATATTGAAAAATAGATTTTTTAAATTGTTTGGCCGACATGTGGGCATAATTAAAATAACTAACGAGGAAAATGGCCACTTTATTTCTAGTACATTTTTCCTCAGTTATTTAAATTTTATTTAAATTAATTTTGGTCCTAACATTTAAGTAATCTTATGTATTTGAAAACAAGTTATTAAAAATAATACTAATACTAAAATAATTTCACCAATATTCTAAAATTAATGATTATGTATTATGTGAATTTATAAAAGTGATCCAGCATATTTAAAATATGAATTACAATCTAAAAATTATAGCTTGTTTATATGAGACATTGACAACCAATTTTAATTTGAAATTCTCTAATTTAACAAGTGTTTAAGTATTAATTAAAAATGAACTATATGTTGAAACCATAGATGTTTTATGAGCTATAAAATGTTGAAGATCAACATGTAGGTTCTAATATACGGAAAATCAATGTGGATTAAATAGTTATACTGTATAGAAGATAGAACTTATAGTAACATAAAAAAAACTCATTTATTTTATTACTGACCTCTCCAAAAACGCTTCCAGCGCTTAAAGTAGCGATTTCTGTTTTTTGGTCATCGGCAACGACACTAAGAATGCCTCTCTTTACTATATACATTTCTTTGCCCACATCTCCTTTACGACATATGTAGTCTCCGGGGCTGAACACCTAATTTTTACAGGAAAATATAAAATTATGCAAATTTTAAAAAGAAATAGTAAATGTACAGTTTGTATGTATTGGTGGTACGCACTTGGAGTCTGAGTTTGAGCACRAGTTCTTCTAATAGACCAGGTTCGCAGTCCTGAAATATCTCGACCTTCTTTAATGTGTCGAGATGTACGTGTATAGCTATCTCAGCTTTTAGTTTATCTGGTAAAGCTGCCAATACACGTTCTTCATCAAGAGCCTAATATTATAAAGAGCTTTGTTATTATTTGTGTTTGAGTAAAAATTAAAGATTTACACGTGATATATTTAAAAAATGCATACGGGTATTATTATTTATTACTATATTCGTAAATATTTATTACTGATACATAATAAAAATAAGTCATTAGTCTTATAAAAATCATCTCACATAACTACATAAGTTTTTATTTATTTGAAATCAAGTTTCACAGATAGATGGATATATMTGAAATTATATATGATTTTATTTGAAACCATTTATGGTTTATTATACCCTATTTAAACGTGTTCAATAATCTCACACTATATAAACACGTTTGTCGTCAATAAATTAATTTATATATTAAATTAGTTAAATTTAATATCTTGATGTATAATAGCTGCCAGATTAGTTTAACATGTATACTATAATATAATATTAAAATAAGAGTTTTTAAGAGTTTTTGTGCATTATAAATACTTAAAGCTACTACCTATATTATGTAAACCTAATATTTTTTTTATTTTTTTTTTGAATTGTTATCCAAAAGAAAAATATAATTTATATGTGGATATGTTGCATATCATACATAAAATAATCAGTTGGGAAAGACCCAGACGTTATCTGTAAAAGTTTTTGTAATTTATGTTTAGCCACAGCCATTGTATGTATGACACAACATATTATTTTTTACCTAAGAGTTCTGTCCATTGTACCTACTCTGTCACACTGTCTAAACTTTAAACATCGGTCAATATCAATGGCATTACTCTGGTATTAAAAAATTGAAAACACAGGCACAAAATAACTTAAAAGTTATTTATAATGATTAAATTGTGTTTGATATAAACATTTAAATTGGTAATTAATAATTCCAAATTCAAAAAAAGATAAATGTTCGTTTATCGTAAAATGTATAATGAATACCTAATTGAATTAATAATGTGAAGTATATTTATTTTTCGTAGCAAAATATATTACATGGGAATTAAATTTCACTTATTTACATTTAGCTAGGCCTGAAACGAAAGTTATATTAAATTGAATACGATTTTCTCATCTACAAAAATATGCTCGGAAAATACATAATATCTTTACATACATTTATTCATTTTTACTAGAAGGTGGAAAATAATCGCAAATATAAGAAATCATATTAAACTCGCAAGAGAATGATTCGAATTTGTATCTTGGTTATCTAAATATCGGATTAAAACATATGCAAATTCTATAACTGCTATATCTTAGCCCTTAGCTATAAGCCCGAAAATATCGATTTACGCCGTTTGAGCGAGATTTTTCTCAAACTWAAATTGAATTTTATTTTTATCGCTTTTCAGCTGAGTCAATACTTTCATCATTAGTTATTTTTTAAAATATATAAATTTTAGATTCTGAGTGAAGCTTTTATATTTTTTTGTAACTTCTGTTGAAGCTAAAATAAGTGCTGAAAAAGTTCTAAGTATAGTCTTATTTGTAGATTGGAAATGAAATCTATCGGGATTTTTCAGATGTCCATTTTTTTCAATAGTTCCCGAAAAGGGTAAGAAAAAATTATTGACAACTGATGAAATACATTAAATATATAATAGGTCTTAACTGATTATCTGAACAGCATGGAATTTTGAATGCGATAATATATTATTGGTTTAAAATGCTATGTAATAAAACGCTTTATTTTCTACTACACCAATATGACGAATTCTCAAATTAGCATTTGAATTTTATATATAGCTTTTTGATTGTGGGTTACGAATATTTTATTAACAATTTTAGTTTAAATTGGTTCTTATAGTTTATGAACTAATATTTTAATTAATGTTATTTCATATACAAAAACAACGGTCATAAATTATATTTATTATCAAGGTGTATAATATTTTTATTACATTTTTATTATAAACTTTTTACTTTTTTTCTCAGATCTKTATAGTAACAGTGAATTTTCAAAAGTTTTTCGATTATTTCTTTTATTATTTTTATTTTTCCGAGGTGCCCTATACAACATTTTTCAGACATTATCTAATACGTAATAATAATATTTTATATATCAAAACATGAATTCAAATGCGAAAGCCACAGACAATAAGAATATGTCAATATGTGATGGAAATATGGAATATTAAAAACAATCGCAGTAGCGGTCAGTGCTGAAAATTAAAATACCTACAAAGTTTTATTCTGTAACCAGTGTAACCTGTATAATATCAATATTTATTTGATGTACAGATATATTATTACTATAGTCAGGATGTTGATGACCTAAAAAACACACGGAAATGATCTAAAAACTTATTTATCAGATTTTTTCCATACAATTTATAAATATAACACTCGATAAACGTTACGTTTTGATAAGCGTGTATGATCGGTATATGTTTGAAAGAGCACATGTTTTATCAATATATTATATTGACAATATACAACACCCAAAGTCTCAAACAGTAAATCCAAATCCAAAGTTAGATTTTAAAATTTTAAATAAATTAAATTTTTTTCTAAGCTTGGTTTTAATACTTGCTCTAATTTAAAATTTGAGAAAAAGTTAGGATAGCATTGTATAGAATCAAAGGAAAAAAATTCAAAAGAGTCATCAACATCCTATCTCTAATTCTTACTGTTTGGTGTTTTGTAGTGATATAACATAATGAGTGTATATCGTGTTCGTGTCATTATTTATTACATTATCATGCTGAAAATTATAACATATTGTAATCGCTTTTGTTCATCATGAGATACAATTTACTTTTTTCCTGATAGTTTAATATTGATTCGGTGTGGTTTAGTACTCCGACATTGTAACGCTAAGATTCAAATTCAGTACCTTCGCCGGTATGATGTGTATACTGTATGGCGAGTTAACGTATAAATAGTTTATAATGGACACGAGATGATTTATTAATACAGTATAACTGCCAAATGTGTTATTCAAATTTGAAAAGCAGTATTATGCCTGTATACATTATTGTTATTATTATTATTTACGTTTCTATATAATGGCAATGTAAATATATTACAATGATAATGGTTCGGGTTGTATTATAAATGTATTATTGGTATAATATCTTGCATGTGTTAACAATAGTGCGGTGGGTACTTGTATATATAGTGTGAAATATCAGAAAACAAAATTATTCATTTGATGCGAAAAATACAAAAAAAACACATTATAAATTATAATAACGTGTTATATTATCCACAACGAATTCGTGTAAAAAGCAGCTTCTGCAGAAATGATTTAAGAACGTATTATAAAACTTCAATATATTATGCATTTAAATGTTTTATTATATACACCAAAGATTTGACCCTCACAGGAAGTTATGATAACTAACTGTGTTACAAAACAGTGAAACATTGAACGGCGTGTGCCCGATAAAAAAACAAAAAATTCGAAATTAATAAAATTTATGCCAACATTCTGGTACATCGAGCGAGCGATTACAACAGCTGTTGTCATTTTTAAGCTTTACAACCAAAATTTGAAACTATTAAAAATAATAAATCACAGTGAAATCTTGCAATATGTCATGCGTGCCACTATATGTAGGTGTTACGGTGGGAACAAAACAATTTGTTTATAACAACTCGGATTCTATAGATGTTATTTAAGAACGTAAAAATTATATAATTCATCACACTCTACTCGTATGCTGCGTTTGACGTGAATTTTATACAATAAACAACCGGAGCTAGGAAGCTATAATTTATTACGCGAATGATTATGCATCGTCGCGGAGGCTTATTTGCTATGTACCTACTATACGCTTACTATATATATGCGAAAATACGTTTAATGACTTAAATTAATTACTACACGTGACGGTCGACACGATACGTTGTTACTCTGTATCACGGCTGTAAAGCGACAAAACGTTGAAAATTCAATACGTTAAACAAATTTATGTCGACTTTATTTGAATAAATATTTCATCGAAATCGTGTATTTTTACAGTATTTTTAACACCTCTCAGTGGGGTGCACGGGTGCACCTCACCAGCGCCGCAACTACACCATTTTGGGCCCGTGTGTAAATAAATGAATGGCAGAATGGGCCCTCACCCCTCTTGAAAATTGAAAATTGAAAAATTAACCTATTGACTATTATAAAATTAATTTTTCCAAAATATTTGAAAACATAGGTACTTTGGAATTTTGAGTTATTACTCAATACTCGATACTCCTTCGCATGACGCGCTTTAATCAATTGCAACCAAACTACCAAACTATTTTTAATTTCGGTTATTCAGGCTGCATGTTAATGCAGGTACGATAATGTTGTGTACAAAACAAAACCGATCTATTGCTCAATCTGTATTAATAATAATTATTATAACAAAATAGTTGTATTTTATTTCTTTCTATATATTTTTTATTTTTTATCATTGGGCCCCATTATGGGTTGGGGCCCTGGGCCCGTGTGTTTGACACACGCAACTCACCCGGTTATTGCGGCACTGCACCTCACGCTTCTGAAGCGTATATATTATACTATTATTACACAGATGGTTATTATAAAGTTTTGAATTAAATTACCAAACGCTCATCGAATCGATATGGTGATGGGACTTTGAACCAAACTGGGTTAGTATAGGCCATCGTATTTGAAGAGCCGTCATCGTTTAGGAAAGGTATAGTTAAATATTATATAATATTTGTAGCTTGAGTGAGTGTGA